AATCTAGCGAGAAAAAGTGCCTAACGTGTCTTCTGAATCCCCAGAATTACTACCCAAATACCAGCCAAATATATACCAAACATGTACTTCAACTGATACTTTCCAAGCAAGGTGCCTAAAGCTTCAAGGGACAGGACTCGAAACGCTCAAACACCACCTAATTTCGTGCCAAAAACGCGCCAAAATCTAGCGAGAAAAAGTGCCTACCGTGTCTTCTGAATCCCCAGAATTACTACCCAAATACTAGCCAAATATATGCCAAACATGTACTTCAACTGATACTTTCCAAGCAAGGTTCCTGCTTTAAGGGACAGGACTCGAAACGCTCAAACACCACCTAATTTCGTGTCAAAAACGCGCCAAAATCTAGCCAGAAAAGGTCCCTAACGTGTCTTCTGAATCCCCGGAATTACTACCCAAATACTAGCCAAATATATGCCAAACATGTACTTCAACTGATACTTTCCAAGCAAGGTGCCTAAAGCTTCAAGGGACAGGACTCGAAACGCTCAAACACCGCCAAATATATGCCAAAAATGAACTTCAAATGATACTTTCCAAGCAAGGTTCCTGCTTCAAGGGACAGGACTCGAAACGCTCAAACACCACCTAATTTCGTGTCAAAAACGCGCCAAAATCTAGCCAGAAAAAGTCCCTAACGTGTCTTCTGAATCCCCAGAATTACTACCCAAAATACTAGCCAAATATATGCCAAACGTGTGCTTCAAATATGTACCAGACATGTACTTCAACTGACACCTTCCAAAACATCTACTTCAACTGATACTTTCCAAGCAAGGTTCCTAAAGCTTCAAGGAACAGGACTCGAAACGCTCAAACACCACCTAATTTCGTGCCAAAAACGCGCCAAAATCTAGTGAGAAAAAGTGCCTAACGTGTCTTCTGAATCCCCAGAATTACTACCCAAAATACTAGCCAAATATATGCCAAACGTGTGCTTCAAATATGTACCAGACATGTACTTCAACTGAAACCTTCCACAACATGTACTTCAACTGATACTTTCCAAGCAAGGTTCCTAAAGCTTCAAGGGACAAGACTCGAAACGCTCAAACACCACCTAATTTCGTGCCAAAAACGCGCCAAAATCTAGCGAGAAAAGTGCCTAACGTGTCTTCTGAATCCCCAGAATTACTACCCAAACTACTGCCAAATATATGCCAAACATGTACTTCAACTGATACTAATTTCGTGCCAAAAACGCGCCAAAATCTAGCGAGAAAAAGTGCCTAACGTGTCTTCTGAATCCCCAGAATTACTACCCAAATACTAGCCAAATATATGCCAAACATGTACTTCGAATATGTACCAGGCATGTACTTCAACTGACACCTTCCAAAACATGTACTCAACTGATACTTTCCAAGCAAGGTTCTAAAGCTTCAAGGGGCAGGACTCGAACGCTCAAACACCACCCAATTTTGTGCAAAAACGCGCCAAAATCTAGCGAGAAAAAGTGCCTAACGTGTCTTCTGAATCCCCAGAATTACTACCCAAAATACTAGCCAAATATATGCCAAACATGTACTTCAAATATGTACCAGGCATGTACTTCAACTGACACCTTCCAAAACATGTACTTCAACTGATACTTTCCAAGCAAGGTTCCTAAAGCTTCAAGGGGCAGGACTCGAAACGCTCAAACACCACCTAATTTCGTGCCAAAAACGCGCCAAAATCTAGCGAGAAAAAGTGCCTACCGTGTCTTCTGAATCCCCAGAATTACTACCCAAATACGAGCCAAATATCTGCCAAACATGTACTTCAAATATGTACCAGACATGTACTTCAACTGACACCTTCCAAACCCTGCTTGGCAACAGCTACAACAAGGTTGTTGTTGTTGTTGTTGTTGTTGTTGTTGTGGTTGTTGTTGAAACCTCTCTTCCCTAACGCGCTCCCCCTTGCTCGGCCGGGGTCGGCGGATTTTCATATCATTTTAACATGCACCTTTTTCGTGTAAAAAACATTTTTATGCCGGCCCAGCAGCCGAACGCAAACATTCCGCTACCGGTCCATTTTGCAAAACAAAAGGTTCTGTTACCGGCTCAATAAACAAAACAAAACAACATTAAGAACCATGAGGTCTAACTTTTTGCAAATCAACAGATCCTTCCACTGGTAACGTATGCTTTTTCAGGTTTGGAACCATGAGTTTCAAACTTTGGGAATCCGCAGTTCCTTACAATGATAGCCGCTTAGCTTCGAAAACATAAATTCTAACTTCTGGGAACCGGCAATTCCTTGCAATAGTAACCTCTGGTTCCCAGGTTGGGAACCGTAAGTTTCAAGGTCTGGGAACCGGCAGTTCCTTGCCATGGTAACCTTTGGTTCGCACGTTGGGAACCATCAGTTCCAACCTTTAGGAATTAGAAGTTCTTTGCAATGGTAACCTATGGTTCCCAGGTTGGGAAGCATGAATTCCAACCTCTGGGAGCCGGCAGTTGCTTGCAATGGTAACCTCTGGTTCCCAGGTTGGGTACCAGGAGTTCCAACCTCTGGGAACCGGCAGTTCCTTGCAATGGTAACCTGTGGTTCCCACGTTGGCAACCATGAGTTCCAACCTTTGGGAACCGGCAGTTCCTTGCCATGAACCAAACGCAAACATTCTGGTACCGGTCCATTAAGCAAAACAAAGCGTTCTGTACCGGTCCATTAAGCAAAACAATAAAATTGCAAAGAAACTGTTCTCATATCATTTTGACATGCACCTTTTTCGTTTAAAAACATTTTTATGCCGGCCCAACAGCCAAACGCAAACATTCTACCGGTCCATTAAGCAAAACAACAACAGGTTCTGTTACCGGCTCAGTAAACAAAACAAAACAACATTAAGTACCATGAGGTCTAACTTTTTGCAAATCAACAGATCCTTCCATTGGTAACGTTGCTTTTTCAGGCTTGGAACCATGAGTTTCAAGCTTTGGGAACTCGCAGTTCCTTACAATGATAGCCGCTTAGCTTCGAAAACATAAATTCTAACTTCTGGGAACCGGCAATTCCTTGCAATAATAACCTCTGGTTCCCAGGTTGGGAACCGTAAGTTTCAAGGTCTAGGAACCGGCAGTTCCTTGCCATGGTAACCTTTGGTTCCCACGTTGGGAACCATCCAACCTTTAGGAGTTGGAAGTTCTTTGCAATGGTAACCTATGGTTCCCAGGTTGGGAAGCATGAGTTCCAACCTCTGGGAACCGGCAGTTGCTTGCAATGGTAACCTCTGGTTCCCAGGTTGGGAACCAGGAGTTCCAACCTTTGGGAACCGGCAGTTCCTTGCAATGGTAACCTGTGGTTCCCACGTTGGCAACCGTGAGTTCCAACCTTTGGGAACCGGCAGTTCCTTGCCATGAACCAAACGCAAACATTCCGGTACCGGCCATTAAGCAAAACAAAGCGTTCTGTACCGGTCCATTAAGCAAAACAATAAAATTGCAAAGAAACTGTTCTCATATCATTTTGACATGCACCTTTTTCGTTTAAAAACATTTTTATGCCGGCCCAACAGCCAAACGCAAACATTCTACCGGTCCATTAAGCAAAAAAACAAAAGGTTCTGTTACCGGCTCAGTAAACAAAACAAAACAACATTGAGAACCATGAGGTCTAACTTTTTGCAAATCAACAGATCCTTCCATTGGTAACGTTACTTTTTCAGGCTTGGAACCATGAGTTTCAAGCTTTGGGAACTCGCAGTTCCTTACAATGATAGCCGCTTAGCTTCGAAAACATAAATTCTAACTTCTGGGAACCGGCAATTCCTTGCAATAGTAACCTCTAGTTCCCAGGTTGGGAACCGTAAGTTTCAAGGTCTAGGAACCGGCAGTTCCTTGCCATGGTAACCTTTGGTTCCCACGTTGGGAACCATCCAACCTTTAGGAGTTGGAAGTTCTTTGCGATGGTAACCTATGGTTCCCAGGTTGGGAAGCATGAGTTCCAACCTCTGGGAACCGGCAGTTGCTTGCAATGGTAACCTCTGGTTCCCAGGTTGGGAGCCATGAGTTCCGACCTCTGGGAACCGGCAGTTCCTTGCAATGGTAACCTGTGGTTCCCACGTTGGCAACAGTGAGTTCCAACCTTTGGAAACCGGCAGTTCCTTGCCATGAACCAAACGCAAACATTCCGGTACCCGTCTATTAAGCAAAACAAAGCGTTCTTGACCGGCCCATTAAGCAAAACCATAAAGTTGTAAAGAAACTGTTTTCATTTCATTTTAACATGCACCTTTTTCGTGCAAAAACATTTTTATGCCGGCCCAGCAGCCGAACGCAAACATTCCGCTACCGGTCCATTAAGCAAAACAAAAGGTTCTGTTACCGGCTCAGTAAACAAAACAAAACAACATTAAGAACCATGAGTTCTAACTTTTTGCAATCAACAGATCCTTCCACTGGTAACGTATGCTTTTTCAGGTTTGGAACCATGAGTTTCAAACTTTGGGAATCCGCAGTTCCTTACAATGATAGCCGCTTAGCTTCGAAAACATAAATTCTAACTTCTGGGAGCCGGCAATTCCCACGTTGGGAAACCTTTTCTATCTGGGGTCTATGCCGGTGTAATCCTGTCATCATGAGATTAGTGTACTCTATTTTGTTCAGAATCTTATTTCTTGTTATTTCTTAACTTGAGAAAACGGTTTATCCGCACTTGGATAGTCCAAAGTTATTCATGAAATAGTTTCTTGACACGTGACACATGATGCTGCGAAAGTCAGGTGCAACTGCTTGTAAGATTTAAACAACACCATAGAGCAAGAACATATATTTGCGATGATTGCTCCTCTTGTTTTTCGCCATGCCTCACACTGAAAGATACAAAAAGTATCAACTTGGCAGATCTTCTATCATCTTCTATCTATATGATCTATCCACATGTTTTTTGCCCAACCACCCGGAGAAACATCCCATTGCTACGCTTTGTTTCTCGATGGCAGCTGCAGCTGCCCCGCCTTCCGCGTCGCATCCCCGGCGCCCGAGGCCAGACGGCGCTGCATGACGCGGCTCTGCACGGCCGTGCCGCCGTGGTGGAGCAGCTGATCTCTGCGGGGGCCAAGGTGGACGCGGCCAACAACGACGGCCGTGGCCTCGGAAGGGTTTTTCGGGTCGTTTTGGGAGTGGCTCTGACGAGGTGACGGAAGGGGTTCGTCCATGGGCAGCTGATTTTTGTGCTGTGCTTTGGGATGTTGAGAGGTACTTGTTTAAGGATCCACTCTTGTTATGGGATTGGCTTCTTGAAATTCGGGTATAAGAAATGACGAAACATGGGGGACATGAGTGGAAGGCACGTGGATTTTTGGGAGTGGCTCTGGCGAGGTGATGGAAGGGGTTCGTACATTGGCAGGTGAGTTCGTACATTTGCAGGTGATTTTCGTGCTTTGGTTCGGGAATCTTTGGGATGTTGAGTGGTGCTTGGTCTTAAAAGATCCTTATGTCACTTATCTTTAGAGCTGGGATTGGTTTCTTGGAATTTGGGTATAAGAGATGACCAAACATGGAGGGGGGAAGACATGAGTGGAAAGCAGAAGCAAGCATGCTGTCGCAGAATGTTCAATGGCTTGAAGTGTCTTGTGATTTGGATCTTGATCCCAGTTTAACTTCAAATTGAAATAAATTGAAACGGTTGTATGAATTAGGCACAGCCAGGTGTTTGAAATCCATATTGTCTACAGTACAAGCTTTTTCCTGCTAGAGGGGACAATAGTTATTTATTGTTTGTTTCGTTCAGGTATGTCTCCATGAGGATATAGAGGCCTGTCCTGATTTCACTGCACTTGGCATGAAACACTATACATGCGACACATGATGTTGCGAAAGTAAGGTGCAACTGCTTGTAAGATCTCGATTAAACACACATGTAACATGACTGATTTGCGATGATTGCTCTCGTTTCTCCCCAATGCATCACACCAAGAGCATCGGCTGGCAGATCTATCCACATTTCTTAACTTGAGAAAACGGTTTATCCGCATTTGGATAGTCCAAAGGTATTCATGAAATAGTTTCTAAACAGGCGACACTTGATGCTGCGAAACTAAGGTGCAACTGCTGGTAAGATTTAAACAACACAATAGAGCAAGAACATATTTGCGATGATTGCTCCTCTTGTTTTTCGCCATGCCTCACACTAAAAGGTACACAAAGTATCGGCTTGGCAGATCTTCTATCATCTTCTATCTATATGACCTATCCTCATTTTTTTGCCCAACCACCCGGAGAAACATCCCATGACTATACGCTTTGTTTCTCGACGGCAGTCGCAGCAGCCCCGCCTTCCGCGTCGCATCCTCGGCGCCCGAGGCGAGACGCCGCTGCATTTTGCGGCTCAGAAAGGCCACGCCGCCGTGGTCGAGCAGCTGATCTCTGCAGGGGCCACGGTGGACGCGGCCAACAACGGCGGCCGTGGCCTCGGAAGGGTTTTCGGGTCGTTTTGGGAGTGGCTCTGACGAGGTGACGGAAGGGGTTCGTCCATTGGCAGGTGATTTTCGTGCTGTGCTTTGGGATTTTGAGTGGTACTTGTTGTTTAAATCCACTTTTTGTGATGGGATGGGCCTCTTGAAATTCGGGTGTAAGAAATGGCCAAACATGGAGGGCAAAGGCATGAGTGGAACGGAAAGCAGAAGGATGTAGGCGCAGACTGGCCACTGGCCAATGACGTCGCAATCTTCAGCTTGACCTGATTTGATGCAAACTTATTGCGGTTGTTTTGCCCCATGGGTATTCAGCAATTAAAGCAACAGACATAAGTCAGTGGAAGAGGGAAGGAGGGGTTGAGAATGTGGCGCATGAAAATGTCGGACAACAAGCTGAGTAGTGTAGTTCTCACAGGAGAGGAAGGGGGGAAGAACATGCGATATATGCGATGCTGACACATCACCATGAAGACTTTAACTTGCACATCCCACTGGTTCTGTGAAAAGAGTTATGAAGAGAGACACATTGAACACTTGGACACGCTGGGTGGACGACGCTGGGTGCACGCGGTGCTTTCAACACAAGGATTTGCAAAGGAAGATGCTGCTAAGCACGCTCAAGGACACTGATGCCCTTGACGTAGTAGACCTACTGTAGTTGTCTTTTTTGGATTGAACATGATTGAACACATTAAATTTATGGTTTTGTCAGTCAGTTTTGACAAATATTATAAATATTCACATTGTGAAGCTACGCCCAACAGACTCCAAGCATCTCCAAGCATTGGCCCCTGAATAAACATATCAAACCAGTCCTGATACTCTTGAGACCAGACCCCCGAAAACCCGAAACCCTCAGACCTGGTTACTTCTGATTACACTGAAATCAGTTGAATGTCTTGGCAAAAGGCTTTCGACCTGCAGGTGAGTTTTGCGGCCACCTCCCGGGCCCTCCGGGGGGGGTGTGACACACTGCGAATAGATACGGTTTACTGTCAGTAAAGACGGTAAGTTGGTGGAATGTAATGATTTCTTAGATTTGTTGCAGATATGTGTTCAGAGTTTGAAAAATGGAAGCATATATCGGATTCTTTAATTCAAAACCGTGAGTATTGATTTGCTAGACTTGAGCAGAAATTGAAAACTCGGCATGGCAAATGCCCTGAGTTTTTTTTTTACCTGAGAAAATGATTTATCTGTCCACATCCGCAGGACTTTCCGAGTTCCCACGCCAAAACGCCGCCGTCGCGTCTCAGGCCAAACGCCTTACGACTGGGCTGAGATCAATGGCCGCCGCCAGGTGATGGGCCTCCTGCGCCCAGCCTCTTGGCAGCCGTTCTGGAGCCATGAAGAAGGTCAACCATCATGGATCACGTATCTCATATTACTAGTCTGACCCATGATATTATCAAACATTCTGGATACTATGGGAGTTGAACGATAAACGGACATGAGAAAACATTACCCATCAAAAGTATTTGGAAGTTTGTATCATTCATTAGTGGACCACCAAAGATGAGGATTAAACCATCAAACATGGGGATCTACGTTACTATCAAATTAAATTTCATCGCCACCGATATCCAACCATTTAACAATTACCTTTCTTGTTGTGCAATGATCAAAGCATGGAATGTTTTCCCATAAAGGGGAATGGTCATCCCGTCATTGATAGGGAATTGTATACCCATTGCTCTCACCCTACTTGTTATACTTGTTTGCTTCGCAGAGGATTGGCGCTCCAAACATTTTTCCACAATGTCCCGTTAGTTGATTCTGGCACATCAGATTTTCTTGCCTGAACTATACCTGGTGCATCCCCCATGTTCCTTGCCCTAAGCACCACAGTTGTGTCGGCGCCATGAAAAAACACCGAGGTCTTTGTGGCTCTGCTGAGTGGCCGAAGCTGCCGTTGCACCTGGGCGTTGTGGGTAGATGATCCGAGGAATATCTGCTGACCGTCAGTGGGAAAAAACAACCCCCGAAGAGTAAATCAACATTGGTTTTCAATGGGTTTTCAAAGCACTGGGACCGTGGTGGCCGTCATAGATGATACACCATGGTGAAGTGCCTATTGATTCGACCTGTTGACCGTCAACATAGTATAGCGTAGTATAACCAGCAAAATGTTGAAACAACATAAACAATTGGTTTTCAAGGCGCTTGGATTGCCCGGACAAGGGATTCACGTTTTCATCCCACCCCATGACATGCCTCGTGTTGAGGCACCACGTTGACGGAGTCCACACTGTTGTGTGCATAGTTGTTCTGCATACCCAAACTGGAATAGGTTAGGTATGCTGTGACCATGGACATGGGGATGCGGGGGCCAGCAAATTGTGACTTACATTTTCTTGCCCCCCACCCATCCACATTTGGGTTGTTTGGAAACGCCTCCATCAACTTTGTTTTAAATGTTACCTTTTGCGCCTGTTTTCATTTTCTGTGGGACCGGCTCATCCAAGAAAATTGCATCTTCAAAGAAAATCATTACATTTAGGCAGGTTCTACCTGCAAAATGTAATCTGACATTGTGGACGCCCCTCCAAAATTCAAGGGGACCGGAAGTTACATATTGGAAGGTACCAATTTTCCAGGTTTCGGGAAAATGCAATTTCATTTAGCAAGTGCACACTCATCCAAAATAAAAGTTACAAGACGCAATCAGTTGATTCGACGTGGCAGTAGCAAAACGATGAAGAACGGCACCATATTTTCAAATGATTTGGTCTGCCAAGATGCGCGACTTGCATCTTCATCTCACCCCATGACATGTTTTGTGTTGAGGCATCACATTGACGGAGTCAGCGGTCCACTCACTTGTGCATCCGTGTTGTGCATCCGTGAAGAGTGGATCAAACCCACGCGAACTGAGGCGATTCATCACAGGAGCGAACTGTGTTGGAGTTGAAGGAAGAGGCTGAGCGCCTTGGCACAGAGATGAACTCCGGGTTGACTGCCACAGGGCAACAGCTCAGTTGACGTTGGCAACAGATGGCAACAGCAGTTCGTTTCTGACAATGACAGTTGTGCAGGTTGGGTGCAGGTTGCAGGTTTTAGGGATCATAATTTGAGAAGGGCATTTTGAATGGAGTATTTGTCAGACCCTCTTCAAATCACAATCTTGAAACGAAACTTAGACCTCCAAATCATGGAACACCTCATGCAAAGTAGCAAGCGCCACTACAGTTGGTACACGCTTGGTACCCGTCTTTGCCACAATGAGTCATCTCATCCAGATTCCGAGATGGATCAGTGGACCCTTCATGACCGTGATACCCCATAAGCAAAGATCTGAACTTGTGCCTCTTTTTATCTTTTCACGGTTCGTTTCCGTATGATGTGCTCAGAGCTAAATTGGTAACTTGGTTCCAGGCAGACACCTGTGACGTGCATCGCTTCCCTGATGCTGGTTGCAAGTCTCTGTCACAGAAGGGCATTTCGGGGTTCATCTGGCTGCAGCCTGTTGATGCCTGCTGCACACCCTGTCCAGTGGATCCGAGGAAAAAGCTCGGCGTCAAGGTTAAACATCTCATTGGACAAAACCACGAGCCATTGCTACTTGGCTGCGCAGAACTTTTGACCCTTCTGCCCAGCTGTTGGGAATCGTATAATCATGTCTTACGTGGGAAACAATCTTGTTGGGTATTGGTGGTAGGCCTCTTCATCTCATCGGCTTGTTTTTACATTGCCGGTGTATATAGTTGATTGGCCTGATAGTTTAAGGAAAAACTCTTGCGAGTTTGAAAGAAAAATCCCGCACGAAGACGTTTTTTGTTGCCTACTCTGTTGCTGGTTGCAAAGCTGGGTGAATATTCCATGCCACCAGTAACTTCTGTGACATCAGTTACTGAATTGGATCAGTTTATGGCAGTCTGTGCCCAGGGATGAAAGCATGAAGCTTGCTGCAGCGCAGATTGTGCCGGGCAACACATTGACCGCCGTGATTTCAGTGCCTTGGCGCTGAAACAGCAGCTGCAACATGACTTGCGACCGTGATGGTAATCGGCACGAGTGCTTGAGACAGTAGTACTGTAGCAAGCCAAAAAAGACCAGGGCAGAATGCCTTTTGCCAGGCGATGTGGATGAGTGTTCACATCCACCATGAATCCAAGTTGACCACAATATCATATGTCCACGTGGCTGTTGTACCCTGTGCGAGGTGTTATGCACTCCCCATTTCATGTCTTCTTCTCTCTGCCTCATTTGGACTTGCGATTTGGTGTTTTCTTAGGAAGATGCTCTCGAAGAAGGACATCCTGAAGCACAGGCGGGGGCAACACTTCAGGTGACATGTGTGACACACCCGGGCATTGGGATGAAAGTTGTCTTATTGCTGTTCCACTGAACAAATGGGTATTCAGTCATAATATGCCATAATCATAAGTTAAGGGTGACCTGCAAAGCGGACAGAGTCTGCAGTTGGAAGCAGCATTCGAAGTCCTGGCTTTTTCTGTACCCAGGCTCCTGCCCAACCTGCAGACCCCTCCATGTCTGAGGACCGGATAAAGTCATTAGCCGAAGATTCATATTCATTCGTATTCATTCGTACAAGTTTCATCCTTTTTCTCATCTTGAGTCGGGAGAGTCTGTGAATTTTCAATGCTTCCAATCGATGTTTCGTATTTTTTCATCCCAAAGTTCAAATCTCAAGGATTCCTGGCAAGGCAGTTCTTTGTTTGCAAACAAACCTTGGCAACGGATCTCTGTTGCAGAGCGACTCGTTGAGCGGGAAAAACAGTGGGACCGGATAGGATGGCGTCGAAATCAAGGATTTCCCGCACGGCATTCGCCTGATGGCGCAGCAGGCCATTTTCGAGGGCTTCGATCCACAAATCGAGGTTCTCGAGAACTGGAGCGACTTGAAGGAAGTCTCAGCTCTGGAAGAGGTATCTTGTCAAGCAAAACTGCCATAACTCCATAACTCTTCTTCCTTTGCATCAACTGAGCCTTGAGACCGTGGTGGGAACTGGAGAAACGATATGCAGTTTCCATATCGAACACGCGTTTTGCCTGTGCCGTACGTTTATGCCATGCGAATTACTCTGCCTGCTGCATGGAGTCTTTCTTCATATTTCTACTCAGTATCCAGAAAGAATTCCCTAGGCAGGTGGTGGAAAGCACGTTGAGAGGTGTGTGGGAAGTGTTGCAAGGCAAGATCATGCAAGATCTGGATCACATACTGTTTGCATCCTACCAGTACAATATGATCGTGTCATGCTCGCTCGTGTCAACAGTATATGTCAATGTATGTCATGTATCTTTTTTTTAAAGTGTGTGTATAATTAAACCTAAAGATACCTAAAGTATATATCACACAACACGCAATGATCCACACATCTGTCCGGAGTCCGCATTCTTTCACAATAATTTGTCCACCAGCTCAGGCGCTGCCTGCCGGCCACGTGCCGCTGGCTCGACTCCTCCGGCTCACTCCGGAAGATCGAACCTTCCCTGCGCCCGTGAAGGCTGGCAGAGTTGGACACGAGTGTGACATGTTGTCCCGACCGCCTGATCTTTTTGGGTCGAAAAAAAGAAGTGATCCATGGAGATGTCCAAGGTTAGAACCCGTGCCAGATATCAAAATACCATGATTATGACTCCTTACCTGCAGCTGTTTTCGTCTTTCTGACTGGGGTTTCTGGTGGCTGTTCAGAGCAAACCATCATCGTTCTTGAACATTCTTGGAGACGTCAGACATAAATCTTACTGCGATTCTTGTAGGTGGAAAATGCATGTATGCCTGGGCCCAACGTGGTTTGCTATTTCCTGCTGAGACTCGGTTTGTCTTGGGACACATGACCCATAGACCCTCGGCCAATGAAAGTGTCAGACATCTGTCAGGTCCAAGTCCCAACGTGTGCTGGCGCCGAAACTTTGTGGAGGTCATCCACAACTGGATGGGAGCAAGTAGAAACTGCTACTTTTGAGGAGACCAGAGCAACGGTGACGGTGGACCACTTTTGTGAGTTTGTTGTCACTGGAAAGCCTCATCCACTCAAAGGCCTCGGTTTCTTGCACGTGCAGGGTGAGAATGCGCAGGTGATCATAATGCACACTGGCTGCGAATCCTGCGAAAGAAACTTAGCGGTGCTTTGCTCGGACCCAGATAGCCTGCAACCTCTGCGAAGATGTTCTCCCAACCTTCAGCTGGGAACCTTTCGCAATGATGAAGCCCTCGAAATCAAGCAGCCTGGCCGAACATCAAAAATGAAAATCCGGTTCCACCGGATGCCACTGATGTCACCCGAGCTGGACGCCCAGTCGCGGCAACACTTTAATGTGGAGATCGAGGACCAGAACCACTGCTTTAAGATCCGGCCAGAAGAGGCAACAGCGGCAACAGCGGCAACTGCAGAGCCTGGACTTGAGCCGCATTCAGCTGGATCTGCAGAGGCATTGCTGGGAATTGTGTTGGGGGTTGATTTGTTGGATGATGCTTACGCCACGTGTACTGATTGGGGATATTCAAACTTCAAGTGACGTGCATTCAGCAGATCCTTCAAGATTAACTCGCAATAATGGTGCCTCTACTCTGCAACCTGCAGATCTCCTGATCATCCTTGATCCATCTCTTGATGCATCTCCATTCCCCTTGCCACAGATCTGTTTTAGCACTGCATGCAACACACATGCCATGGTGCCAGGCATCGTCAGCTGCCATGACTGGTAACATGGAATCAGCAGTAAGGAGCTCAGGACCTTGCAGATGGATCCAAAGAAATTGTATAGATTTGTATAGCACCACCCAAAAACATGTAGATGGGAAGTAAAACCAGCAAGACGTTGCAACATCTGTGATCAATTGGGTGGCACTTCATTCCAATGGGTGGAACTTCCAAAGTCCAAGTGCATTTACTCTCCCGAAAACTAACGTTGTACAAAAAGAAACAGGGTTCCATGTTAGCGCACCCATATTAAAATTCATGAGCGGGATAAGTGACAGGTAGGTGCCATGTTGGTGCTGGTGAATTTGGACATTTTCTGTCATACTAACATAGAACCCCACAAGCTGCCATTGAATGCTCATCAAGAAGTTCCATGTTGGCCATGGCAGTTGACACGGGGAATTCGGAAGCATTATTCCCTTTATAGTGATTGATGGATGCAAGATGCCGCATAACAGCTCTTTTGTCAATGAATCATTTTGACCAAGATGAATTCCAATGCACAAATTCTGAAGACAGTTTTAAAGTTTTAAACACATACTGTTCAGTACATGTCAAACACACACACACACAAAAAACATACCATCAACACATCTTAAAAACACATCGAAAACATCTTCAAAACATAAAGAGTAAACCAAAACCTATATTCAAAGTTTATCATCTTCCAGAAGCAGCCTTTTCCTATTTACCTCCTATATTCCCACCATACATATAACCAACATGACATTTCTCCATGTTTTTCGTCAAGTGGCCTTCCCGTTGTGTTACCGTTGCCGCGGTCAAGCTGGTAACAGGCCAACCGGGTCACCGATAACACGGACCTTACATGGAACCCAACCGATATAGAAAAACATCACTTGAAGCTTATCATGAAAGAACCTTTTCATTTTATTGGCAGGCCTGGCACCAACAAAAAATCCTTAAAACCTCTTAAGACATTAAAAAAACATCTCTCTTCTGCTGCTCCAAATGTCCATTCAGGTTCCAAGTTCGTTTTCGGGTTCCTGGAGTCCACGCTATGCAAAAAAAACACCAGTCCAAATTCAACCCAAACAATGATAAAACGAAGAAACAGCTGGAGAATGCTGGGGAAAAACATCAATGCAACTAGACCTAAGAAAAACTAGGCTGAGTGGCCCAACATGCTCCAAAATATGTTTCCCCATCCCAGGGGTCAAAATGGATGGATTTAAGATGATTTAAGGATCCTAGCCCTAGTTTTCCTTTACGCTTGGTAAAGGAGAACATGTGCCATTTGGACGTTTTTGGGCTGAGTCTGGATTGGTGGCCACATTTTGTCTCCCCGTATGCTCCAAAATGGAACCCACCGAGTTTAACTTTTGGGGGCGCCAGCTCCAGCAAGGTCACCATCAAATTGTCACATTTGTCTTTCTTTTGCTCCTTGTTGCTCTTTCCATCTCTTCCTTAGTTTGCTGATATTTGTTGTCTTTTCATGTCGCTCGTTTTTTTTTCTCTTCGCTGTCAGGTTTTCTGCCCGTTGCGGATTAATTTTGGAAGGTTGTGCGACGAACATGGAACCCAACACATATCGAAAAATAAGTCACGACTTTTTCTTTGAGGTGTTTTGGTTTCAGTTCTTTCCCCGCCACAGACCTGGAACCTGAATAGTTTCTTTGAAGGGAAGGTAGAACATGCAAAACAGCCAGGTTTTGACATTTTTCTTTTGTTGGATTTTTTCGTTCTGTTGCACGCAAGACTATACATTGAATTTGCCAGAACCACGCCTTAAAAACCACTTGGGTTCCAGGTTAAATTTCAAATCATCCTTGGTTGCAGATCGCTTTGTGATGACTTGTTCGGGTTCCATGTTGGCTGTTTCAGGGTGAGAGCCACCAACCCCGAAAAACGGCAAGTCAGAACCCGCCCATTCCACCCGCCCATTCCAACCCCCCAAAGGCACCAGACTCCCCACGCAACCCGTCAGCCGCCAGGCAGCACCGGCCGCACCCACCGGACCAGCACCACGGAGACCCTGCAGACAAAGGGCCAACTTCAAGGCCGTTGGCACGTACACGCGGCCCGTCTCGGTCCGACCCTGAAAATCCCTCACGCCGACACACTTTGGAGATTTTGAAGTGCATTGAAGTACGACTTGGTGCGATTCGGACATATTTTGAATTAAGAGTTTAGTTGAAATGCATTGAAGTACAACCTTTTTGAGGATGGACATATGGAGTCAAAGTTGTGTCCTTTTAGTATTTGTATTCAGGCAAGGCCAGCGTTCTTTGTCTTTCAGTGATATTTAAGACCGACCTGGGTTTCTGTGTGTCTGATGCTTTCCAAGCCGATTCTGAGGTGGCATCGACAGATCGAGGGCATTTAATGCTCAGCGGACGCTTCAACAGTGATGCGATTCTCGTCTTACACACGGGAGAAGGATCAGCAGATATGATCAGCAGATATGACATGACTTTTTGCAGTATTTTTGGGGTTAAATCGGACCTGCCTTGGACAGTTGTTCGAAGGTGAATGTGCAACACCGCCATGGGATCGACGGCTGAGGATTGTCGCGTACATGAAGGAAGTGAAGAGTCAGCTGGAGACCAGAAGTGTCCCAGTGTTCATGGTCGATGCGTCAACTGGCCAAGATTTTGGCCACATGACATGCAAAGGATTGTACCGTGCCAAAGGCATGGTAGCTTTCTGCACCTCTGAGTACGGTGCGTATACTCGTGCGGGCTATGAAACGTTCTATGAACTCGAGTTCGCTCACCAGAATCAGTTGCCGTTGTTTCCCATCAAGCTCTGTGACCAGTGGCCACCAGCACCACAGAACAACGAACGAGGCACTTGCCAAAATAAATTTGTGTTCAAGAAAAGCCTCGTCTTCGCAGAAGATCTGCAGATGACCAACGCCAAAGGTGTTGCTGATAAGATTGCTGAATCTGTCGCGCGCTTGGGGATCTTCCGAAATTAGAGGCAGCTGAAAAGAGATGTGCGAACACGCCTGGGTTAATGCAAAGCGTTGGTGGATCTGGCTGGAATGTTAGGAATGTCTTTGATAGGCAGTTCATGTACAGTAAGAAATGTAAGAACACCTGAAAGTACTTGTACCCCGGTGCCCTCAAGTAAACCAACATGGCAGGCCGGCAAGACGCAAATTCTTGAGGAACAAATCATTAATAACCCCAGAAACAAAAGATTTCCATTGCATCCCATTGCTACAACTGTTTGATATTGTTTGCTTGTTGGGCGATGGAAAGTGAAGTCGTAAACTACCAGTGGAAGTTGTCGTGTACTCAGCCAACGCCTTGTCAAGGAATTTGTCAAGGCTTTGCAGCTTTGGACCGATGCTCCTTTTGTCACTATGTCACTATGTCACTATCAACCTTTCAATGGACGACACTGACACTGAACACACCTTTCATGTCGACTTTCCCGTGCTTATACCTTCGCATGGCGCAGTTTGCAGCTCCAGTCGCAGACTATTTCGGAAGATACAGTAACAGTTCTGCATCCGACATTGCTTCATGGTGAAGGCATCAGAGTGAGAGAACAAGCACATTTTCAGAGTGCCTGCAATAGGTTTTCACCACACATCATGGGCATGGGATTATAAATTGCAAACTGAAACTTAAATCCCATCGAGGGGTGCCCATCCATTGATCCCAATGATCATCATGATGTTTGATGCTCGTCATGGTACTTTTTCGCAACATATAGCAACGCATAGCTAGCCGATCTCTGGGGATGTCCAGGGCCTCCGGGGTGAACGCAGTGAACGCCTCAGCCGGATGTGCAGCAGATGTTTCTCCGGTAGCGAACAGACTTGGTGAATGGAATTCTACATATTTCTAGAGAACCCTACGACATATTTCTAGAATTTTTCCAGATTTAATGGTGAGATATGGTGAAATATAGTTTTCATGTTTTATCTTTGCTGTTGGGTGTGAGATTTCATGGTGGCTGGTAGCTGCTCATATGTCTGAAGCAACTTGTTTTGGCTTGAATCTAAAACCGAACATGCTGGCCGCAGTCCTTCAGGCTGACACCCGAGAACGCATCAGATCTCCTTAAAGGACTCGAGTTTGGACAGAGCTCGGGGAGGAAACGGTGTCATCCCCCGAGAATTTCTGCCGAAGCACCGCTGTGGAGACCCGTGCAACTCCAGCTGATTCAGGTGTAGCCACTGGCCCTTCCGGCTGGTTAACAACCAAAGAGGTTAAACCCAGGTCAGGCCTGGATTTGGCGAACGTAGAGACGGATCAAAAGTCGGAAATTGATTTGAGGCGGTGATTGAAACCAAATCTGTGCCCGTTTTGTTGGATATATGTTTTTTTTTGGTATGATACTTATCGACAACATATTTGGAATTATTTGTTGAGTCAACTTTTTAACTGTTCCATTGTGTACTATGACTATTAGTGGATACTAGTTGTCAGTATTCATTGATAAGATTCATGTTCCCATACAGTTTTTTTCTTGATGTTCCATACATTTCCATAGGTTTTCTCGTGTTTTTCTTTCCGTTGTATCACCAGGAACTCTGGCATCGCAGCCGCATGGCCTCCAGCGGTTCGGCTTACCCGGAGGCGGGGTACCGGAGAGGCGATTTGGGAACAAAACGTGTAAGGAAACGATAGCTATATATAGAGGATATACATGGATACTATTGAATCTATTGAAATGAGAATAATTATTTGGATATGTTCGTTTTTGCAATTATCCATGATATACATGGAGTATCCTCATTTTTTCAATTATAATCTACAGCATATTTCAGGCATATACGGTATACCCCCAGTCTGTAAGGGTTGTATTAAGAAAAAACACAGCACCTGATGCAGGAAATCCGTTTTTATTGTGGGAAGCTATGATGGACGCTCATCATAACACTGCTCTAATGGGCTTTTCGTAGAGCTATACATTACCACGTTTTTTTTTTCTCATCCGGTGTATGCGCTTGTTCCAGACCCATCTTGGTCTTTCATGGACGCGATATGACGCGATAGCGGTCTCAGCTGCCAGGCTGTTGGTTGCAGCTGTTGGTTGCAGCTGTTGCAAATTTCACGGCAATTCACGAGGAGAATCTGTGGGAGACAGGCCCTCGCAGCTGATTCCAGCAACTCACCTCTTTCGGATTTGTGGTTGTCAGCAGGATGTGTCAGCAACAGTCGTCGTTGGCAAATCTAGCCATGTTTCTTTTGGCATCGAAAATAGTTGGTTTTCATCACTTGGGTATAGAGAATCGGTCCCAGCATTTCTCGCCATGAGTTTCAAATCATGTGCCACCTCGCTGCACGAACTTTGGACGCCTTGGCAAGGCCGCAGCCGCCGTGGCAATAGACCCTGAGGTGCCAATGTTTGGGGTGTCGAGATTGGAACAGATTGGACGGGAATTTTCAATCACAAACAATAACAAACAGGAACAAAATCATTCAACCCTCATGGAATATTTCTATTTCTCAATGTCAGCAATATTTTGATATATATCCTGACCATATTTCAGGCAAATGCTTCTTCAAACTCATCCATTTTTTTTGGCAGAAACAGACATTTCTTAGATCCACTACCATGCGATTTCTTTTTTAAAGGGCATCATGCAGTGTAGGCGTTTGTTTTTCATCGCTTTAATCGCCTACTGGGTATAGAGAATCGATCTCAGCATTTCTCCTCACTTGCGCTGTAAATCATTTGCCACATCGCTGCACAGACTTTGGACGATTTTGGACTTTGCAAGGCCGCAGCTGCCGTGCCAATAGACTATGAGGTGCCGTTATTTCGGTGTGGAGATTGGGACGGACTGGGTTGAGCATAATGTGGTGCCAGCTCGGCATGCAGATTCTGCTGGTGTCAACAACCGTCCTCGTTGTTGGTAAACCTGCCATGGTCCAACTGATAGCCGGTCTGATTGAAATTTCGAGTTTGGGGCGATGCTCTGTTCAAACAACTCTGGACATGGTATCTTAGAACTTTGCAAAACAATTCTCTGCGAAACAGTTGGCATTCTTGCCTGTCAAGGCAGATGAAGCTGCAGCTAAAAACTGTCAAGACCTGAGATTGTTGAATTCGCTCAGCGGGCTACAGGTAGCTTTCTGTTGAGTTAATTTTGTTAAGTTTATTTTCCAGGGTTCTATGCATTGGAAATCTTGCGCCTCGAGATCTGCTTTGCCATCCTCATCCCTAGACTGGAAAAAGAACAAAATCTATGCAGTGCTGGAGGTTTCATGATGGTTTCTTTATTTCAGGCTTTCCCGTCCTGGATGGGGTAGCTATCTGGGTAGCCCTGTTAACGAGCCGTGCCCCTTCCAGCAGCTCCCCAAGGGGATGGGCTCGTGTCCCGAGGCAAGGACATCCATCAGGCCGCCAAGGAGGGCAACGTGGGTGCCGTGAGGCACTTCCTGCGTGTCGACCCCGAGAGCCTGGAGAGGAAGGGCGGAGACTTCCGCCGCAGCCTCGGAGCTGAAGTTGGAAACTTCGGTGAAGATGAGTGATCCGGTGATCCACTCCTTCCATAAACTTGGTATGTTTTGGTCGAGCAGTCTGGCTTGGTAAGGGTTCCAATAGGCCGACTTGGGTCCTGACTATGTGGCACCACCCAATTGCCGTGGAGGCACTTGAGACTTTCATTTTGCTACCCTGGATTTGTGTATATGAACCAGGTTCCGGACTGTAGACAGATGTAGACAGTCTTGTGTGGTTACGTTGCTTGTCTTTGTTTTGCCAGATGGTGTTTGATGGTTAAGCCATCCCTCGCACAGCATCGACTTGGCGGGCCACCAACAGAAGTGCCAATCCCATTTGATCCCCCACACTCTTCTGCCACATGCTTTGGAACTCTGTTCTTCAAGCCTGTCTTCAAGCCTATTCAAAATTCCCAAGCCTTGTGTGAGTGCTTTTGGCGCACAGGCAACTGGCCCAACTCGTCCACAATCATGCAGTTGAAGAACAAAAGCGAACTTTTATCCAATTGCAGTTTTCAGATTTCTAGGATGTCAAATCAAAACAGGGTACATTTGTGCCATGATTGGCTCTGGTTTTCGGGTGATGTTGGCATTTTTAGTCACCTTGCATCCACAACAACTTGAAAAGGGTTTCTGAGCTCACCGGGACACAATCCTTTCCAACCCCTAGTCACAGCTTCTTCATCGGCAACAGCTCCCTCCTCTCCTTGTGTTTCTCCTGGCATTCTTTTGTCAGATGGCGTGCAATGTTTGCCCTGCCCGGACTTACGATTTTAGGGATGCGCAGCTTGCGCAGCTTGCGAGTTTTCCAACTCTCGTTCCCTCACGCCTTGACCCGTGGGGCGAGCCTCGCGGCCGCCTCTCCCGGCCGAGGCCAGACGCCGCTGCAGCTGGCGGCAGAGCAGGGCCGCGCCGAGGTGGTCGCGCTGCTGCTGAAGTCCGGCGCCTCCCTGGAGGCGAAGGATGACGCATACGGTCGCAGACCCCAGAGCTGTCGCAGCCATGGAAACTGTGTCGGGGAGGAGAGCGGATGACAAGTTGCCTTTCATTTGTCCAAGTGGATCCTTTTCCTGTCTCTGCATGAAATGATGGTTCTGGTATAGACATCAGTGACAAGTATGATTGCATGAATTGTTTGTCTTGTGAGTTCTTCTGATGAAAGTGCCAAAGCAGGTTTGCCCGGTCAAATCTCTTACTTTCTGAATATCATCTCTGTCCGCATAGCAATAGCACAATGAAGGATGATTGATCAGTCAGTATGGATCAGGGATAAGGGCCTGAAGATGTGATATTAAAAAACAACGTCTGAGTGAAAGCTGATATTGGTGGATATGTTCGGACTCTCAAGTCTAGCACAATAGACTCCAAATCCCTTTGTCTTCAAACCTGTACCAATCAGATAGGTTTCAACCCTGCACAAACCTTCCTTTTCACTGTACAGTGGACAGTGAAATGGTTTCCCTTGGCAGAAATACTTGTCCAATGACTTTCATGCCTGCCACCAAGCCGCACCTTGCATTGTGTTTCAGCCCCGCACCTCACCTCACAGCTCTTGCGTTTCTCCTGGCATTCTTTTGTCAGACATGTCCTGATTTCACTGCACTTGGATAGTCCAAAGTTATTCATGAAATGATTTTTAGACGCGTGACACATGATGTTGAGAAAGTCAGGTGCAACTGCTTGTAAGATTTGAACAACACCATAGTGCAAGAGCATATTTTGCGATGATTGCTCTTCTTTTTTTCGCCATGCCTCACACTAAAAGATAAACTAAAAGCATCAGCTTGGCAGATCTAATATTTATGAATTTATGACCTATAATTTTGCCCAACCACCCGGAGAAACATCCCATGACTATCGCCTTGTTTCTCGACGGCAGCCGCAGCAGCCCCGCTTTCCGTGTCGCATCCTCGGCTCCGAGGCTTGACGGCGCTGCATCTGGCGGCTCAGAAAGGCCACGCCGCCGTGGTCGAGCAGCTGATCTCTGCGGGGGCCACGGTGGACGCGGCCGACAAGTACGGCCGTGGCCCTGGAAGGGTTTTCGGGTCGTTTCGGAGTGGCTCTGACGAGGTGATGGAAGGGGCTCCTACATTGGCAGGTGATTTTCGTGCTTTGCTTTGGGATGTTGTGCGATACTTGCTGTTAAAAGATCCACTTTTGTGTTCGAATTGGTGTCTTGGAATTTGGGGAAAAGAAATGATCAAACATGGGGGACATGAGTGGAAAGCACGTGGTCTCAAATGTTGACTGGATTTGGAACTTTTGATTAATTTGACTTTGATCCCGCATTTGTCCTTGAATTTGCGATCGACTGAATTTGCGGCTCACAAAGGCAATTGCGCCGTGGTCGAGCAGCTGATCTCTGCAAAGGCCACGGTGGACGCGGCCAGCAACGACGGCCGTGGCCCCGGAAGGGTTTTCGGGTCGTTTTGGGAGTGGCTCTGGCGAGGTGACGGAAGGGGTTCGTCCATTGGCAGGGGATTTTTGTGCTGTGCTTTGGGATGTTGAGTGGTACTCGTACTTGTTGTTTAAGGATCCACTTTTTGTGATGGGATGGGCCTGTTGCAAATCGGGTAAAAGAAATGAGATGAAACGAGTAGAAAGCAGAAGGAATCACGTGGTCTCAAAGTGTTCACTGGTTTTGTTTTTCTGATGATTTTGTGCTTGATCCCACATTTGTCTTTGAAATTGTGATCGCTGTATGGAACAAATTTTGACAGCAGAGCTGTCAGATATTTTCACTGCCAGCGGTAGAATGTAGTGATTTTATTTTTGTTGCAGGCATGTATCCTGAGATTGAAAAGAAAGAGAAAAATGGAAAACACATGGGATCCTTCAAAGAACAGCTGTGAGGCATTGATTGTCCCAGACTTGACGCAACCAAACATTGAAAATTCAGCATGACAAATGGATACAAATGGCGTGAGTGCCATGAGCTTGGGCACCTGGGTCAATCCCACTGGATATTTAGGTGTCCAAGGCACGCAAGCATCATATTTTTAAATCAAAATTAATAAAATTAATCAAATTTTCATGTCATCATGAGATTAATGTACTCCATTTTGTTCAGTTTTGGTAATCCCTAAAAAAAAATATTTCTTAACTTGAGAAAACGGTTTATCCGCATTTGGATAGTCCAAAGGTATTCATGAAATAGTTTCTAAACAGGCGACACTTGATGCTGCGAAAGTCAGGTGCAACTGCTGGTAAGATTTAAACAACACGATAGAGCAAGAACTTATTATGCGATGATTGCTCCTCTTGTTTTTCGCCATGCCTTACAGTGCCTCACACTAAAACATACAAAAAGTATCAGCTTGGCGGATCTGATATTTATGACCTATCCAAAAATATTTGCCCAACCACCCGGAGAAACATCCCATTGCTACGCTTTGTTTCTCCTCGGTGCCGCAGAAGCCCCGCCTTCCGCGTCGCATCCTATTATGTATATTTCATAAGTATGTCTAATCATCCTGAAGTAGATAGACTAGAATATGTATTTCTTGACTTTTTGCATGGACATTCACATTTTGTTAAGGACATGTGGAACATTCCATATCCTATCTACTCCAGGATGACTATATCTTATATTTACATCTCGATGATTCATCCCCATAAATGCAGCAAACAAATTCCATGCCATTTGCATCATTTGCACCATCCCCAATAGAGGTTTATGAAATTCATTGAAATTCTGGATACTGGATGATACTGGTATACCCCTAGAAACGGGATGATCATGGGTTTTTCATGGTTTTTCTGGGATGGTGACGATGGCATTGGATTTATTTACCTTTATGTCTAACCCATCACCTCCAGAAAACCTCTGGTTATTTCACAGTGGAGAAAGTCAGGTGCAACTGCTTCTAAGATTAAAACAACACGATAGAGCATATTTGCGATCATTGCTCTTCTTTTTCGCCATGCCTCAGCTTGGCAGACCTTCTATTTATATCTATTCATGATCTATCATAATCTATCCACATTTAGCTCAACCACCCGGAGAAACATCCCATGACTATCGCCTTGTTTCTCGACGGCAGCCGCAGCAGCCCCGCTTTCCGCGTCGCATCCTCGGCTCCGAGGCGTGACGGCGCTGCATCTGGCGGCTCAGAAAGGCCACGCCGCCGTGGTCGAGCAGCTGATCTCTGCGGGGGCCACGGTGGACGTGGCCGACAACGACGGCTGTGGCCCTGGTTTGGGCGTGGCTCTGGCGAGGTGACGGAAGGGTTTCGTACATTGGCAGTTGATTTTCGTGCTGTGCTTTGGGATGTTGAGTGGTACTCGTACTTGTTGTTTAAGGATCCACTTTTTGTGCTGGGATGGGCCTCTTGAAATTCGGGTAAAAGAAATGAGATGAAACGAGCAGAAAGCAGAAGGAATCACGTAGTCTCAAAGTGTTCACTGGTTTTGTTTTTCTGATGATTTTGTGCTTGATCCCACATTTGTCTTTGAAATTGTGATCGCTGTATGGAACAAATTTTGACAGCAGAGCTGTCAGATATTTTCACTGCCAGCGGTAGAATGTAGTGATTTTATTTTTGTTGCAGGCATGTATCCTGAGATTGAAAAGAAAGAGAAAAATGGAAAACACATGGGATCCTTCAAAGAACAGCTGTGAGGCATTGATTGTCCCAGACTTGACGCAACCAAACATTGAAAATTCAGCATGACAAATGGATACAAATGGCGTGAGTGCCATGAGCTTGGGCACCTGGGTCAATCCCACTGGATATTTAGGTGTCCAAGGCACGCAAGCATCATATTTTTAAATCAAAATTAATAAAATTAATCAAATTTTCATGTCATCATGAGATTAATGTACTCCATTTTGTTCAGTTTTGGTAATCCCTAAAAAAAAATATTTCTTAACTTGAGAAAACGGTTTATCCGCATTTGGATAGTCCAAAGGTATTCATGAAATAGTTTCTAAACAGGCGACACTTGATGCTGCGAAAGTCAGGTGCAACTGCTGGTAAGATTTAAACAACACGATAGAGCAAGAACTTATTATGCGATGATTGCTCCTCTTGTTTTTCGCCATGCCTTACAGTGCCTCACACTAAAACATACAAAAAGTATCAGCTTGGCGGATCTGATATTTATGACCTATCCAAAAATATTTGCCCAACCACCCGGAGAAACATCCCATTGCTACGCTTTGTTTCTCCTCGGTGCCGCAGAAGCCCCGCCTTCCGCGTCGCATCCTATTATGTATATTTCATAAGTATGTCTAATCATCCTGAAGTAGATAGACTAGAATATGTATTTCTTGACTTTTTGCATGGACATTCACATTTTGTTAAGGACATGTGGAACATTCCATATCCTATCTACTCCAGGATGACTATATCTTATATTTACATCTCGATGATTCATCCCCATAAATGCAGCAAACAAATTCCATGCCATTTGCATCATTTGCACCATCCCCAATAGAGGTTTATGAAATTCATTGAAATTCTGGATACTGGATGATACTGGTATACCCCTAGAAACGGGATGATCATGGGTTTTTCATGGTTTTTCTGGGATGGTGACGATGGCATTGGATTTATTTACCTTTATGTCTAACCCATCACCTCCAGAAAACCTCTGGTTATTTCACAGTGGAGAAAGTCAGGTGCAACTGCTTCTAAGATTAAAACAACACGATAGAGCATATTTGCGATCATTGCTCTTCTTTTTCGCCATGCCTCAGCTTGGCAGACCTTCTATTTATATCTATTCATGATCTATCATAATCTATCCACATTTAGCTCAACCACCCGGAGAAACATCCCATGACTATCGCCTTGTTTCTCGACGGCAGCCGCAGCAGCCCCGCTTTCCGCGTCGCATCCTCGGCTCCGAGGCGTGACGGCGCTGCATCTGGCGGCTCAGAAAGGCCACGCCGCCGTGGTCGAGCAGCTGATCTCTGCGGGGGCCACGGTGGACGTGGCCGACAACGACGGCTGTGGCCCTGGTTTGGGCGTGGCTCTGGCGAGGTGACGGAAGGGTTTCGTACATTGGCAGTTGATTTTCGTGCTGTGCTTTGGGATGTTGAGTGGTACTCGTACTTGTTGTTTAAGGATCCACTTTTTGTGCTGGGATGGGCCTCTTGAAATTCGGGTAAAAGAAATGACTCGACCAAACATGGGGGACATGAGTGGAAGGCACGGGGTCACAAATGTTCACTGGATTTGGAACTTTTGATCACTTTGAGCTGGATCCCACATCTGTCCTTTAAAAAAATGAAACGGTTGATAACGGTTGTATGGCATGAACTATGAGCAGAGACATCCTGTCAGAAAAGACCGCAAGTTGGTGGAATGCAATGATTTTCTTGATTTGTTGCAGATATGTGTTCAGAGTTTGAAACATGGAAACATATCGGATCCTTCAAATCAAAGCCATGAGCATTGACTTGCCAGACTTGACCAGACATTAAAAACTCGGCATGGCAAATGCCCTGAGTATTATTTTTAGCCTGAGAAAACGATTTATCTGTCCACATCCGCAAGACTTTCCGAGTTCCCACGCCAAAAACGCCGCCGTCGCGTCTCAGGCCAAACGCCTTACGACCTGGCCAAGGAGGGCCATCGCCGCGGCCACCGCCAGGTGATGGGCCTCCTGCGCCCAGCCTCTTGGCAGCCGTTCTGGAGCCATGACGAAGATCAACCATGATGGATCACATATCTCATCTCACATTAGTCTGACCCATGATATTATCAAACATTCTGGATACTATGGGAGTTGAACGACAAACAGACATGAGAAAACATTACCCATCAAGAGTTTGGAAGTTTGTATCATTTATTAATTGACCACCAGACATGAGGATTAAACCATCAAACATTGGGATCTACTTTACTGCAGAACTACATTTCACCGCCACATATACCCAGCCATTTAACAATTACCTTTCTTGTCGTTGTTGATTGTTAGTTATATGTGCGATGGTCAAGACATGGAATGTTTTCCCATAAAGGGGAATGGTCATCCCGTCACTGATAGGGAATTGTATACCCGTTGCCCTCACCCTACTTGTTATGCTTGTTTGCTTCGCAGAGGATTTTGCCCTCACCCTACTTGTTATGCTTGTTTGCTTCGCAGAGGATTGGTGCTCCAAACATTTTTCCACATCGCCCCGTTAGTTGATTCTGGCACATCAGATTTTCTTGCCTGAACTAGACCTGGTGCATCCCCGTATTCCTTGCCCTAAGCACCACAGTCGTGTCGGCGCAATGAAACAACAGCGAGGTCTTTGTGGCTCTGCTGAGGGGCCGAAGCTGCCGTTGCACCTGGGCGTTGTGGGTATAGATGATCCGAGGAATAACTGCTGACCGTCAGTGGAAAAAAAATCAACCCCCGAATAGTAAACCAACATTAGTTTTCAATGGGTTTTCAAAGCACTGGGACCGTGGTGGCCGTCATAGATGATACACCATGGTGAAGTGCCTATTGATTCGACCTGTTGACCGTCAACATAGTATTACCATAGTATAGCCAGCAAAATGTTGAAACAAAATGAACAAGTGGTTTTCAAGGCACTTGGATTGCCCGGATAAGGGATTCGCGTTTTCATCCCACCCCATGACATGTTTTGTGTTGAGGCACCACGTTGACGGAGTCCACACTGTTGTGCATCCTTGTTGTGCATCCCCAAAGTGGAATAGGTTAGGTATGTTGTGACCATGGACATGGGGATGCGGGGGCTGGCAAATTGTGACGTACATTTTCTTGCCCCTCACCCATCCACATTTGGGTTGTTTGGAAACGCCTCCATCAACCTCGTTTTAAATGTTGCATTTTTTTCCTGCTTTCACACAGGGAACAAACACCATACTTGGGGGACCTTCCAAGTAAATGACATTTTGTGTGACGGGCTCATCCCAAGAAATTGCATCTTCAAAGAAAATCATTACTGTACATTTAGGAAGGTTTTACCGTTTTACCTTCTAAATGTAATCTGACATTGTGGACGCCCCTCCAAAATTCAAGGGGACCGGAAGTTACAAATTGGAAGGTACCAATTATCCAGGTTTCGGGAAAATGCAACTTCATTTAGCAAGCGCACACTCATCCAAAATATAAGTTACAAGACGCAATCAGTTGATTCGACGTGTTAGCAAAACGATGAAGAACGACACCATATTTTCAAACGAATTGGTCTGCCAAGATGCGAGATTTGCATCTTCATCCCACCCCATGACATGTTTTGTGTTGTGCATCCGTGAAGATTGGATCAAACCCAACCGAACTGAGGCGATTCATCACAGGAGCGAACTGTGTTGGAGTTGAAAGAAGAAGCCGAGCGCCTTGGCACAGAGATGAACTCCGGGTTGACTGCCACAGGGCAACAGCTCAGTTGACGTCGGCAACAGATGGCAACAGCAGTTCGTTTCTGACAACGACAGTTGTGCAGGTTGGGTGCAGGTTGCAGGTTTTAGGGATCAAAATTTGAGAGGAGTATTTTGAATGGAGTATTTGTCAGACCCTCTTCAAATCACAATTGAAACGAAACTTAGACCTCCAAATCATGGAAGACCTCATGCAAAGTAGCAAGCGCCACAGTTGGTACACGCTTGGTACTTGTCTTTTCCACAAACAATGAGTCATCACATCCAGATTCCGAAATGGATCAGTGGACCCTTCATGACCGTGATACCCCAATAAGTCAAGATCTGAAATTGCGCATCTTTTTATCTTTTCACGGTTCGTTTCCGTATGATGCGCTCAGAGCTAAATTGGTGATTTGGTTCCAGGCACCTGTGACGTGCATCGCTTCGCTGATGCTGGGGGGCATTTCGGGGTTCACCTGACTGCAGCCTGTTGATCCCTGCTGCACACCCTGTCCTGTGGATCCGAGGAAAAAGCTCGGCGTCGAGATTAAACATCTCATTGGACAAAACCACGAGCCATTGCTACTTGGCTGCACAGAACTTTTTTGACCCTTCTGCCCAGCTGATGGAAATTGATACCCCCCAAAATTCCCACTCCATTATCAGGACCCCCGGGGGTTCGCCAAAACCATTTTTTTGGACAGCCTAAGTGCCTGCAAGGATATGCTCAATGCAGGTTCCTGATTTTGGAGAGGGGACCTTTTGTAGCTGGCTGAAACTGTAGGTTCCTGATTCTGTAGGGGTTTTGGGGTTTGTCAACATTCAAATATACACATTATATTGATTTTGCAGGTTTCCCATTTTGTAGAGAAAAATGGTGGAACATGTGTTTTCGACTTGCTTGAGGGCTTTCTTTATTCGAAGTAGCCATTCTGCTTACATGTGCGCTCATGCCAGGCTCCCCATTTTGTAGAGGCCAGTGGTTGTGACAATCACAAACGTGCACCAAAAAAAAGGGGTTGGGTACCCTGATTTTGTAGAGAAGATGCCTTGCTACATTTGTGGCAGGTTCCTCATTCTGTAGAGGTCTAGGGCCCCAAAAGTCAGGTTTGGCTCTACAAAATGGGGACACCCAACCCCCCCTCAGGTCATTTTTTGGGGGATCAGATTATATTGATTTTACAAAATCTGGAAATGTGGAACAGGAATTGCCTCTACAAAATGGATTTTTGTACACTTCAGGGTTTTCAGGTGAGACGGGGAGACCAAAGTTCTTTCACATCATCCCTCTACAAAATTGATCTTTGTATTTTTGACGGTTTTCTTTCTTCCAAGTAGCAATTCTGCTTAAATGTTTGCTCATGCCAGTTTCCCCACTCTGTAGGGGCCAGTGTTTCTGAAAATCATAAGAGTGCACCAAAAAACAGGGGGTTGGGTGCCCCGATTTTGTAGAGAAAACCCCTAGATTTGTGGCAGGTTCCTCATTCTGTAGAGGTCCGTCAAGCCATTTTTTTGACAGCCTAAGTGCCTGCAAGGGTGTGCAAGGACAGGTTCCTGATTTTGTAGTGGGAGCATTTTGATGCATGTTGTAGATGGCTGAAACTGTAGGTTCCTCATTCTGTAGAGGTTTTGGGGTTTGTCAACATTCATGTGCATAAATATACGTATACAAATTATATTGATTTTACAAAATCTGGGAGTGGAACAGGAATTGCCTCTACAAAATGGATTTTTGTACATTTCAGGGTTTTCAGGTGAGACGGGGAGACCAAGGTTTTTTCACATCAACAAAAAATTACCTTGACGGTTTTCTTTCTTCCAAGTAGCAATTCTGCTTAAATGTTTGCTCATGCCAGGCGTCCCATTTTGTAGAGGCCAGTGGTTGTGAAAATCACAAACGTGCACCAAAAAAAAGGGGGTTGGGCACCCTGATTTTGTAGAGAAAACCCCTTGCTAGATTTGTGGCAGGTTCCTCATTCTGTAGAGGTCTGGGGCCCCAAAAGTCAGGTTTGGCTCTACAAAATGGGGACACCCAACCCCCCCAGGTCATTTTTTGGGGGTATGGAAATTGTATAATCCTGTCTTACGTGGGAAACAATCTTGTTGGGTATTGGTGGTAGGCCTCTTCATATCATTGGCTTGTTTTTACATGTTTTTACATTCCCGGTGTGTATAGTTGATTGGCCTGATATATATTTTAAGGAAAACTCTTGCGAGTTTGAAAGAAAAATCACCTGCACGAAGATGTTTTTTGTTGCCTACTCTGCTGCTGGGTGTAAAGCTGGGTTTATATTCCATGCCACCAGTAACTTCTGTGACATCAGTTACTGAATTGGATCAGTTTATGGCGGTCTGTGCCCAGGGATGAAAGCATGGAGCTTGCTGCAGCGCAGATTGTGCCGGGCAACACATTGACCGCCGTGATTTCAGTGCCCTGGCAACAGCAGCTGCAACATGACTTGCGACCATGATGAGAGGTAATGGGCACGAGTGCTTGAGACAGTAGCAGCAGTAGCAAGCCAAAAAAGAGTACGGCAGAACGCCTTTTGCCAGGCAATGTGGATGAGTGTTCACATCCACCATGAATCCAAGTTGACCACAATATCATATGTCCACATGGCTGTTGTACCCTGTGCGAGGTGTTACGCACTCCCCATTTCATGTCTTCTTCTCTCTGCCTCATTTGGACTTGCGATTTGGTGTTTTCTTAGGAAGATGCTCTCGAAGAGGGACATCCTGAAGCACAGGCGGGGGCAACACTTCAGGTGACATTTGTGACACACCCGGGCATTGGGATGAAAGTTGTCTTATTGCTGTTCCACTGAACAAATGGGTAGTTAAGGGTGACCTGCAAAGCGGACAGAGTCTGCAGTTGGAAGCAGCATTCGAAGTCTTGGCTTTTTCTGTACCCAGGCTCCTGCCCAACCTGCAGACCCCTCCATGCCTGAGGACGGGATAAAGTCATATTTATGCATATTCATTCGTGCAAGTTTCATCCTTTTTCTCACCTTGAGTCGGGAGAGTCTGTGAATTCTCAATTCCAACCGATGTTTCGTACTTTTTCATCCAAAGTTCAAATTTCAAGGATTCCTGGCAAGGCGGCACTTTGTTTGCAAACAAACCTTGGCAACGGATCTTTGTTGCAGAGCGACTCGTTGAGAGGGAAAAAAACCGATGGGACCGGATAGGATGGCGTCGAAATCAAGGACTTCCCGCACGGCATTCGCCTGATGGCGCAGCAGGCCATTTTCGAGGCCTTCGATCCACAAATCGAGGTTCTCGAGAACTGGAGCGACTTAAAGGAAGTCTCAGCTCTGGAAGAGGTATCTTGTCAAGCAAACTGCCATAAGGTGCTATAACTATCCATAACTCTTCTTCCTTTGCATCAACTGAGCCTTGAGACCGCGGTGGGAACTGGAGAAACGATATGCAGTTTCCATATCGTACAGCATTTTGCCTGTGCCGTACATATATGCCTATGCTATGCTAATTACTCTGCCTGCTGCATGGAGTCTTGCTTCATATTTCTACCCAGTATCCAGAAAAGAATTCCCCAGGCAGGTGGTGGAAACCATGTTGAGAGGTGTGTGGGAAGTGTTGCAAGGTAAGATCTGGATCACATACTGTTTGCTTCCTACAATATGATTGTGTCATGCTCGCTCGTGTCAACAGTGTATGTCACGTATATTAACATGTCATGTACAGTATTATTTATATATAAAGTGTGTACAATTAAACCTAAAGTATACATATCACACAACACGTAATGATCCACACATCTGTCCGCATTCTTTCACACTAATTTTTCCACCAGCTCAGGTGCTGCCTGCTGGCCACGTGCCCCTGGCTCGACTCCTCCGGCTCACTCCGGAAGATCGAACTTTCCCTGCACCCGTGAAGGCTGGGAGAGTTTGACATGGAAAACTGTGAGTCACGGAGATGTCCAAGGTTAGAACCTGTGCCGGTGATCAAAATAACATCCTTTTATCTCCATAGCTGCAGTTTTTTTTCGTATTTCTGACTGGGATTTCTGGTAATTGGCTGTTCTAAAAGAGCAGCCCAACATTGCTGGTAAACATTCTTGGAGCAACTGAGATGTCAACTGCAAACCTTGCCACCATGATACTGCAGTGAAAAATGCTCGCGCATGGTCTAATCCGATGTCATCGTTCCCTTTAGAGAATCGGTTTGGGTTTTGGAACGTGATCAATATACAAGAGCCTTGATGATTTTTTTGGCGAAATTGACGACATTTGTTGACTTTTCAGTCAGGTCCAGGTGCCAGCGTGTGCTGGCGCAGACACTGTCTGGAGATCCACTCCAGCTGGCTGGGAGAAGCTGGACACAGTCACTTTCGACGACGGTCGCGCAACGGTGGCGCTGGGCCACTTTTGTGACCTAGTCATCACTGGAAAGTGCATTCCGCTGAAATGCATTGGTTTTCTCCATCCACACGGCGAGAACGCCCAGATTGTGATAATGCACATTGCCTGCAAGTTCTGCCAAAGCGGGTTGGAGTTGCTTTGCTCGGATGAAGATGTTTTGCAACCCCTGCGCAAGTGCGGGCCCAGTCTGCAACTGGGAATGTTTCGCCATGAAGACGAGTTGGAAATCCACCAGACTGGCCGAACATCGAAAATCAAGATGCGATTCGACAAGATGCCACTGTCGCGAAGACTCTATGCCCAGTCGGGGCTACAGTTTGATGTGGAGATCGCTGGAGAGAACCACGTCTTCGAAGCTGTTCCGGGTCCGCCAGCAACTCCTGCACCACAGCCTGCTCATCCTTCTGGGCACCCAGCTGGATCTGCACCACAGGCCGGGCGTGCGATTTTTTTGAAGTCATGGTTACTTTCGAATGACCGGAAAAACATGGAAAAGCTTTACAATTTATTATTAATTTAATATCAATATCAATTCATTGGATTTCCTGAAGATCTGTAGGATCTGTCAACTTGGCAAGTTGGAACCTCCATGGCCCATCTCAACTCGGAAAAGACACGCCGCAGCCTCGCAGGTGCCCGCAGTTGCAGGGGCTGTCGGATCTTCCGCGGTGCCGAACCCACAGGTGACTCGGAGATTCCTTGGAGGGTCCTTCTTGGAGAGATGGTGGTAGTGTCTGTACGGTCGAAATGAAAGGTGTATGAGACCACAGATGTTCTTTATTATATTTTTTTTTTATACTTTGAGTATTTTGAACCACATCTAGTGACCACACGTAGGATAACATATTCTTTGTGTGGACGTATTATGATTCATGTATTATATATAAGTCAAAACATCGGATGTTCTTCATTTTGTTTTTTTTGGTAACTTGATCGATGCCCACATAGTGGGCACTGTGGTGATGCCAATTCTGCAACTCTTAGATTTGACCTGTTGTTCCAAGGCTTGTGACGCCAAACCTGTTGTCAAACTGGGAGATTAGATGGTGCTGATTTTCTTTGTGCAATGCATTGAACATCATTTTGTGGGGATGCAGTGAAAGTCGTGTACCTTGTGCATGATCCGACATGAAGGGCTGCAACTTTGTTTTGGATCACTGAATTGGTGGATAGAGTCCCTGCAGTCCCTGGTTACCCCGGGGTTCCCCATGGCGAAGTGTGTAAAAACTCCGTCATTACATGCTTGTTCCTGGTTGGGGATATTCTCCAAGTCAAGTCCATTCAGCGGATCCCTCAAGATCCGCTCGAAATGGTGCCTCTTCTGATTGCAACCTTCAGATCCATCAATCTCCAGATCCATCTCGCAAGACGTGCGCCGTGCCAGGCATCAGCTGCCTCGACTGACATGCGATCGGTGGGGAACTCAGGATCTTGGGGATGGATCAAAACTAATTGTCATATGTTTGGGGGTATGAAAATCAATGGAGACCAGCTACTTTGGTGCGAACTGACCCATAACATCCCATAACCACATTGTCCCTCGTAAACAATTTCCGTCTTCAAACAAGGACTGCCTTGTTTCGGATTGCTCGATTGATTCAGGATTTTGGTACTTGACATTGTACTTGTCTTTACCCACCGAAACCTCAGTGTGTTTATGGCTGACGATTTGCTGCACTGCCAGTTCTTAGGCGGCGTCACAGCAAGGACACTTGTTGTTGAGCGGGCGCTTCAACAGTAATGAGATCCTTGCCTCAAAAACACAATTTTGATGTGATTCCATGTGTGGTTTTGGTGGATCGAATCTCCTTTGAACAGGTGTGTCATGGTCAAGCTGTCTAACGCTTCGTGGGTTGATGACTGAGGATTATTGAGTACATGAAGGCAGTGAAGAAGCAGCTGGAAGCTCAAAATGTACCTGTTTTCATGGTTGAAGCAACGGTCGGCCAAAGTTTTGCTGACCTGACACGGATAGGATTGTGGCGTGCCAAAGGCATGATAACATTTTGCACGTCGGAGTATGGGGCATACACTGGTGTAGGATATGAAACTTTCCATGAGCTTGAATTTGCTCATGACCACCAGTTGCCCTTGTTTCCGATTAGGCTCTGCGAACAGTGGCCACCAGCGCCACAGAACAACGAACGAGGCATCTGTCAGAATCACTTGGTGTTCAAGAATGGCCTCGTGTACATAGATGATCGGCAGATGAATAAGGCCCAACTCGTTGCGGATCAGATTGCTGAATCTGTCGCACGAATGGGCATCTTCCGAACTAAGCTGCAGCTTTAAAGATTGGGGGAGCATGCCTTGGGAAATCAATGCGGAGTGTTGGTGCATGTCCTGGCTGGAATGTTATCAAAGTCTTTGGTAGGCAGCTGTACAGTAAGAACACCCGAAAGTACCCAGGTGCCTTCAGGTAAACCAATATGGCAGGCCCGCAAGATGCAAATTCTATCAAATTCTTGATTCTTGAGGAACAAATCATTCGTAAAACCAGAAACACAGGATTTCCATTCATTCTATTGTTTGATATTGTTTGCTCGTTGGGTGATGGAAAGTGAAGTCATACACCATCGGTGGAAGTTGTCCTCCGCTCAGCCAACGCCTTGTCAAGGAATTTGTCAAGGCTTTGCAGCTTTGGACCGATGCTCCTTTTGTCACTATGTCACTATCAACATTTCAATGGACGACACTGACACTGAACACACCTTTCATGTCGACTTTCCCGTGCTTATAGCTTCGCATGGCGCAGTTTGCAGCTCCAGTCGCAGACCATTTAGGAAGAAAACAGTTCTGCATCTGACATTGCTTCATGGTGAAGGCATCACAGTGAGAGAACAAGCATATTTTCAGAGTGCCTGCAATAGGTTTTTCACCACACATCATGGGCATGGGATAATAACATATAATATTATAAATTGAAACTTAAAACCCATGATAGATAGCCAATTCGAGAGGTGCCCATCCATTGATCCCAATGATCATCATGATGTTTGATGCTCATCATGGCACTTTTTCGCAGCATACAGCGACGCATAGCTAGCCGATCTCTGGGGATGTCCAGGGCCTCCGGGGGTGAACGCAGTGAACGCCTCAGCCGGATGTGCAGCAGATTTTTCTCCGGTAGAGAACAGACTTGGTGAATGGAATTCTACATATTTCTAGAATTTTTGCAGGTTCAATGGTGAGATATGGTGAAATATAGTTTTCATGTTTTATCTTCGCTGTTGGGTGTAAGATTTCATGGTAGCTGGTAGCTGTTTGAATGTCTTAAGCAACTTGTTTTGGCTTGAATCTAAAACCGAACATGCTGGCCGCATCCCTTTCAGGCTGACACCCGAACACGCATCAGATCTCCTTAAAGGACTCCAGTTTGGACAGAGCTCGGGGAGGAAACGGTGTCCCCGAGAAATTCTGCCGTTGGTTTGGGCCTATCCCAGCAGCTTTGAACATACACGAAGCACCGCTGTGGAGACCCGTGAAACTCGAGGTGATCCAGGTGTAGCCACTGGCCTTCCCGGCTATATAAGAGCCAAAGTAGAGACGATTAAAACATTGGTGTGAGGTGATTGAAACCAAGTCTGTGTGACCATTTTGCTTGCTAGATTTTCTTTTAATCCTTATGATGATACCTATCGACAATATCATTTCATATCATTTCTATGATTGATTGAACCAACTTTGTAGCCTTTAATCCTAGCATCAAAACATTCCTATTAGTTGATACGATTTAGCTGCTTGTATTAATTGATATCATAGTATTTTTAGATATCATGAATTTTTCTTAGTTGATAATTATGAATTGATAATCTTTAGATAATATCATCCATGTGCCACATCTTTCCAGATCCAAAAAAATCCATCAGTTTTCTCGTTTTTCACCAGGAACGGCATGGCCTCCAGCTCGGCCTACCCCCAGGCCACTGGGCCCCGGCCGGCCACGGCGATGTCGGAGATTGGGGCGGAGTAGACCCGGTGCATTACATATACATATATTATATATATAACATACATTATGTCTAGATCTATGAATACATGTTGTACATCATTCATCATTTTACATCATATGAATAGTGTACATGATGTATAACTGTAAAACATTATTAATGATATACAAGACGTATAACATTTGTATAGCACGCTATTTCCAAGGTGATGTATAAAATCCAGTATGGACGCTCAGCACGATATTGGATCTGTGGCATTCGGTCAGCAGATGAACACTTACCCCGCTCAACCTTCTCTTGGAACCAAGACCCAGCACTTTTCGCCACACTGTGGAGATTTAGACCCAGATCAACTTTATCATCCAGAACGCGTCGGCGACACAGTGGTTGTTGGTAAACTGGCCATGGTCTTTTTGGGCACAGAAAGTCGGTGGTTTTCATCGCCCACTATTTGGATATATAGAATATAGAAACTTGATCTCGACATTTCTCGCTATGAGTTTCAAATCATGTGCCACCTCGCTGCACGAACTTTGGACGCCTTTGCTAGGCCGAAGCTGCTGTGAGAATAGATCCTGAGGTGTCATGTTTGGGGTGTGGAGATTGGGACGGATTGGACGGGAATTTTCAGGCACAAACAAAAACACACAGGAACAAAATCATTCAAACCTCGTGGAGTATTTCGATTTCTCAATTTTAGCCATATTTCGTTGTTCTAACCATATTTCAGGCAAATGTTTTTTCAATCTTATCCATGATTTATATGGCAGAAATTGACATTTCTTAGATCCACTACCATGCAAAAAAAACATGATAGAGCATCATGCATTGTATCACCTACTCAGTACAGAAGCCTTTACAAGGCTGCAGCCGCCGTGCCAATAGACCTTGCGGTGCCATTGTTTGGGGTTTGCAGATTGGGACAGATTGGACGGATCAATTTGTTGTGGGTGGAAATGTGGTGCCTCGACTTTCAGATTCTGCTGATGTCAACACCGTTCTTTGTTGAGGGTAAACCTGCCATGATCCAACTTATCCGTTCAGCTAGCTGGTCTGTTTGAAATTTGAGTTTGGGGCTATGCTCTGTTCAAACAACTCTGGACATGGTATCTTAGAACTTTGCAAAACACTTCTCTGCGAAACAGTTGGCATTCTTGCCAGTCGAGGCAGACGAAGCTGCAGTTAAAAACTGTCAAGACCTGAGATTGTTGAATTCGCTCAGCGGGCTACAGGTAGTTTCTGTTGAGTCAATTTTGTTAAGACATTTCTTTTTCGAGGGTTCTATGTGTTGGAAATCTTGCGCCTCGAGATCTGCTTTGTCATCCTCATCCACAGGCTGGAAAAAGAATAAAATCCATGCAGTGCTGGAGGTTTCATGACGGTTCCTTTATTTCAGGCTTTCCCGTCCTGGATGGCGTATCTGCGCGGGTATTCGTATTAACGAGCTGAGCCCCTTCCAGCAGCTCCCAAGGGGGTTGGGCTCGTGTCCCGAGGCAAGGACATCCATCAGGCGGCCAAGGAGGGGAACGTGGGCGCCGTGAGGCACTTCCTACGTGTCGACCCCGAGAGCCTGGAGAGGAAGGGTGAGGAAAGCCGCAGCCTCGGAGCCGAAGCTGGAAACTTCGGTGGAGATGAGTGATCCGGCGATCCCCGCCTTCCATAAACTTGGTATGTTTTGGCATGTTTTGGTGAAGTCAGGCTTGGTAAGGAGAGTGTTCCAATTGCTGTGGAGGCACTTGAGGGCCCAAGGCGGACTTTCATTTTGCTACCCTCGATTCGTGCATATGAATTTAACCAGGTTCCGTACTGTAGTCTTGTGCGGTTACGTTGCTTGTTGTTGTTTTGCCAGATGGTGTTTGATGGTTAAGCCATCCCTCGCACAGAATCGACTTGGCGGGCCACCAACAGAAGTGCCAATCCCATCTAATCCCACACAATCTTCTGCCACATGCTGTGGAACTCTGTTCTTCAAGCCTTCAAGCCTATTCAAAAGTCCCAAGCCTTGTGCCAGTGCTTTTGGCACACAGGCAACTTGTCCAACTCGTCCACAATCATGCAATTGAATGTTGAAGAACAAAAGCAGATTTTCATCCAATTGCAGTTTTCAAATTTCTATATTCTGTCAAATCAAAACAGGATACATTTGTGCCATGATCGGCTCTGGTTTTCGGGTGATGTTGGCATTTTAGTTATACAGCGTCCGCAACAACTTGAAAAAGGGTTTCTGAGCTCACCGGGACACAATCCTTCCCAACCCCTAGTCACAGTTTCTTCATTGGCAACAGCTCTCTCCTCTCCTCGTGTTTCTCCTGGCATTCTTTTGTCAGATGGCGTGCAATTGTGTTGGACTATGAGATTTTAGGGATGCGCAGCTTGCGCAGCTTGCGAGTTTTCCAGCTCTCGTTCGCTCACGCCTTGACCGTGGGGCGAGCCTCGTGGCCGCCTCCCCGAGGCCGAACGCCGCTGCACCTGGCAGTGCTGGAGGGCCGCGACGAGGTGGTTGCGCTGCTGCTGAGGTCCGGCGCCTCCGCAGAGGCGAAGGACACATACGGTCGCAGACCCCAGAGCTGTCGCAGCCATGGAACTGTGTCGGGGAGGAGAGCGGATGACAAGTTGCATTTTCTTGTGCCAAGTCATTCTGAGGAAAGCAAAATGAAGCAAAATGAAGGCAGACTTGTCCAAGTGGATCCTTTTCCTGTCTCTGCATGAAATGATGTTTCTGGAATAGACATCAGTGACAAGTATGATTCGATCAGTTGCTTGTCTTGTTGTCTTGTGTCTTCTTCTGATGAAAGTGCCAAAGCAGGTTTGCCCGGTCAGATCTCTCTTACTTTCTTAATATCATCTCTGTCCGCATAGCAATGACATAGCTAGCACAATGAAGGATGATTGATCAGGCAGTACGGATCAGGGATAAGGGCCTGAAGATGTGATATTAAAAAGCAACGTCGGTGGGTTTCAATCCTTCTGAGTGAAAACTGATATTGATGGATATGTTCGGACTCTCAAGTCTAGCACAATAGACTCCAAACACCTTGTCTTCAAACCTGTACCAATCAGATAGGTTTCAACCCCGCACAAACCTTCCTTTTCACTGTATAGTGGACAGTGTAAGTTTCCCTTGGCAGAAATACTTGTCCAATGACTTTCATGCCTGCCACCAAGCCGCACCTCGCATTGTGTTTCTCCTCCGTGATACGGGTTACATTTTGCAGTGGTTGGCTCTCATCGGCAACAGCTTCCCCCCTCACAGCTCCCACCTCCCTCGCGTTTCTCCTGGCAATTCTCTGTCAGACAATGTCCTGATTTCACGGCACTTGGATAGTCCAAAGTCCAAAGTTA